TATATAACTTTACCGTTAGATGGACGAAAACTATATTCATCCTTGACCCCACCTACCGCGCCAGTAGCCTCTAAATCCTTTTAAATTCCTAGTTCAGTACATCCCACTGACTGCGCCCCGCTAGGTACTAAAACAAAAACGAATATGTCATAATAATAATAAATACTTCCACATACACCTATCGGAGGGCAAACATTCGCCTTTAACCACAGCTGCAGCGCTATTAGCACCTATAGCCTCATCCGCACGCAGTTTGGCACTCTGCACCAGCTACACCCCACTATTCACCGTAACACGAAAGACCAAACATTAAAGACACACAAACCTATACACACTTACCGGTTGACGAATATCAGCCAACTTATCATTGACCATATCCGCACCAGCCTCATCAACTCCGGTACTCTCCACTAGCTGCACCCCTCCATGCACCACAACCCCTTCATCTTCCGCTGCCAGTGATTGTGCTGTGGCAAGCGCTAGAGTTTCGGGGGAGAGACGAGTAGGCGTGACAGTGTGGGTGGATGTTTGCCCTGTGGCGGCCCTGTCCTCTTCGGTTTGGGTCAGGGCCGGAAGATCTCTGAGTTCGAGTGGGGTATCGTAGCCGCCGTGCTGGGAGTCTAGGGTGTCTCCGAGTTGATCGCCAATGAGAGACAAAGTTTCCTAATGTCATATGATGCGTGTGACATTAGGGAGAATCGAAATGCGACAGTGGTCACTAACTATTTACAGAATCGTCATCTGAGGAGAGATAAATCACAAGCCTAAACCCTTATACTCTAAACATCCCGTCCTTACTTTCTACAAGAATAAATAAATATCAATCAAGTTTGAATACCATAAAGCTCCAGGACCAACTTATAGCTCACGCTCCCACTTATTCACCGCTTCATCGTACAAGATAGAATATATATAATCTTGCGTCTAAAAAATACAAAAGCTACATGGCCTATAGCTTCATCGTAAGAGTGTGTTTGAAGCAAAAGCCATGCACCCTAAACCCCTAGCAACCTCCAAATTATTTAGCTCACGCTCCCACACACCGCTTCATCGTACGAGAAGAACGAGTCACCACTCAGCGAATCGCAGGACATTGAGACCGAGTTGCGCTGTCTGCTTGCTGCCCCAATCCTTCCCCTGGGTAGCTCGGCCAAACTCTCGTACGAGTCTATGGCATCGTACAGGCAGTCTATGATACTGTTCACGTGGCGAGCAGACCTCCCGCTAGCGACATTACGCTTGATGAGCGTCCATGTCTTCAACCCTTGGATCAGCGCATGATATCCTGCTTGTGAGGCGACCATGGTGTATATGATGGAATAAGTGGGTGGGGGGGATACGATACAGTGACGCTCCTAGATGTCTACTCACTACAAAAACCAGATTTATCAGTATTGCGGCTGTGTGTACAGTGTACTTGCTCGGCATACGTAAGCGCGTGAGTGAAAGCCTGTGCGTATACTTGTACATGTGTGCGTGTGTATTTGTGCGTTCGTGCGTCTTTATACGTGTATGTGCATGTAATAATACGACAAGCAACAATAAGGAGTTTGGCAGAGCGGTAGTCGCATACGAACATGTGTGCGGAGCCATGCTCCAGTCACATCTAGAATAATGAGTACTTTACAGCATTAGCGATGATATGCTAAACACGGACAGGTGTCGTCGAACGACGACGGTTAGTGATGGATGCTCTGGACATGACATCGACGAACCTGATGATAATCCCTTCATCGCCGGAGAAAGCTGTCCAAAACAACAATGGGACACAAGCCTTCAAATAATGAAAGAAATGTCACACATTAAGTGTAATCGAAGTACGCACGAAACACACTACGTTGAAGTACACACTGAACGCATTCGTAAATGCGCTCTATGAACCCATATACACTAGCACAAACACACAAACATGTTTGTCCAGGTCATGCATACACACACATATACATTCCCGGGTAAGTACACACATATGTATTACTCTGATAATACACGCACATGAATGTAATCCTGGCATATAAACACATATAAGTGTACCTTGGTCGAATTCTACGGACACTTCTCGCGAAGCCGCTGTCTGTGTTCGTCGCGCAGCGTACAACAGACCCAACGAACAGGCCATGAGCCCTGCCGACAAAGAGAGGACATGGGTGCTGTTGCCCTAGTGAAGGCCAAATTGTGATAAGTTGGTAGAGACAAAAATAGGCCAGGATATTAGAGAACTGTCTGGGGATGCGTCATCACAGATTGTTAAGAGAGTGAGGAGATGATGTACGAAAGTCGTGAATCGTGGGTTCCTGGACGTATGTGGGAACTATGCCTATCGCTGCGATTGTGTGCGGAAACCACTGATCGCGAATGCTTGCAAGCTAGGTGGCGGTCTCGATACATCCGCGCTAGATTGATTCACACAGTGTGTTTGGGAGGAACAGATGCATAGTTCGTGACAGTCAGTCCTCGTCTTCAAGCGAAGAAACAAAGCAAAGAAACAAAGCAAAGCAACAAATAATAGAAGCAACAACTGATAAACATGTCAACCGTACAGGCACATGGTACCGCCGAGGCAGCAATGATTTGGTAATGTGGAGTAAGTTTGTACCCTTATGTAACTAACTATATGTGTGTTCTGATCTCTGGATTGTAAAATATCTGCCTGCAAAGAAATATATGCAATTTTTCCCATACCAGTTCACCTATCTTTCGCACTTTATCATAATTCAATTGACCACTAAACTACATATCATTGACATGAAATATGCTAACCACTGCCGCTAGGCTTGTAGTAAACTTGAAACTTTCCGTACATGTAGGCGCTGCAAAACTACACCACGTAATCGCACATGTCACATGGCACATAGCCGGATGTCTTACTTCTACACACCAGTGATATAAAAAACCCCATTTGTGTCGCGGCAGCAAGCCCTTCCAGGTATTCAATGAAGAAACAAAAAGGAGTTTCCCAGTATCAGTATCCAAATAGTTGAGAACCCTAGGAATACAAATATATATAGTAAGAATATGCATATATATGTATATATATATGTATATATATATATATATATATATATATATATATGTGTGTGTGTGTGTGTGTAGTCGT